TCCCCATGCCAGTGCCAGGTAGGCTGGCATCCTCCGAGGAACCCCTCCGCTCTGGAGTAACCGGCGGGTACAGACGGATGCAGTGGCCTCATGCCAGGGACCGTCAGCCGCTGCGAGAGGGACCATATGTGTGAGTTCCTGCCAGGGGCTGGGGAGGACAAGTTCTTACTTTAATCAAAGACTGCACCAATGTCAGCTCCTAAAGAGTCTGTTGGGAAGACAGGAGGGAGCCTTGATTCCGACTGCCAGCCTCGCTCACCCACTACAAAATCTCTTTAGGGAAATTCTATTTCCTGCCAAGAAGATTCAAGAATTTTAAAAATAAATACAATTTAACTAAGCATTTGAAGAGCTGGCTGCTCCGCAGCTCTCAGGGCTGCGATGGCACAACCCGGCTGGCACGGGGACAAGCAGGCTGAGGCACAGCTCATTCTGGGATGCTCCAAGGGATGCAGGGGGGTGCCGGCAACGAGCTGAGCGGGGACCCCGAGCTCTCACACTGCCCTGGGGAGCCCCCAGCCCCAGGCAGGTTTGCTGGGAGTCCCTCCTGACACCACACCTGATGTCCAGGCTTTGTGCCTGCTCCTCACCGAAGGGAGATTCCCCCCACAGCAAGCAAGGGTCTGACTCCAAAGGGGGCAAGGGAAGGAAGCAGAGGGTCCTGGGGGCCTCCTAAATGGCTCCAAGTGCTGCACAGGAGCAGCCCCAGGGGTCTGCACTCTCGGTCTCTGTTTTGGGGCAAGGCTGCAATGCCACAGTCATTCCTGCCACCACCGGGCTCTCCCATAACCCCTGAATTGAGAGTCAGCTCCTTCCTGTACCAAGGGCTTCTCTTTTCTCCTACAGACACCTTTAAAAAGATTCACAGAGGTAAGAGGTAGCACTTCACCATCAGTTGCTCTGCCTTCCCTGTGCCCCATGCAGAATCCTGGGGGAAACCTTCCCCCACGCTCTCCAGGACATCCTTCCTCACATCCAGCCTCCAGCAGAACCCGCTGAGACCGTGCACCACTCGTGACAGGGGAGTGCACCAGCCCAGGCTCCACGCAGAGCCCACCCAACCCAGCCTCCCGGCCCACCCCACCACAGAGCAGCACAGCACCTGCACAGCTCCACTCCCCAGCCCAGCCTGGCTTCTCCCAAACCAGCATCCCCAAGCAGGTCTGGCTTCCAGGGCTCCCAGCTCAGCCCCACCAAACCCACGTGAACAAAGGAGTCACCTGTGGGTCACTTCTGCATCGCACCATCCTGGCAAAAGAGCTCAGCCCCACTTCTCCTCACCCAGCAAGGTCTCCCCTGCCCATCTCCATTACAGGAGCTGTGAATTAAATCCAAATCACTTAAATGTTAACCAATTATCCACATCACGGTGAGGCAGCTGAGGAAGTTACTCCAGCACCTGCCTGATGTAATTAGCCTTGGAGCCACTGAAGCTCGCAGCGCTTGTACATGTGAAATAATTAAAAAGTGATGGAAGAGAGTCCGTCAGTGCCAGGCAAAACAAGGGGGAGCAGCGGGGAGGTAACAGCCATCCCACCTGGTTCGGTCATGGGCATTGCCCCCAGCCAGGCTGACACATCGGGGACGAGCAGCGGTACCTGCCAGCCGGACCTGTGAGCCTTCCCTGAAGTCACCAGTCCTCCCTGCCACCTCCAGTCCCAGCCCTTCTCATAGGAAACAACACAGAATTAGGACTGGCACCTTCCAGCCTGTCTGTGCTAATCACTCCCTAAAGTGCAAGCCGGAATGAGGCCATTGGTCTTGGTTTACAGGTGGGGAAACTGAGGCATGGTGCTGGGATGGTCCCCAGGGCCCTACGCTCTCCCTGTGCTCTGCCGTAGGTCCTGGCACCTGGGAGGGGAGGCAAGGATTAGAGATAGCACAAACCCCACGATTACCAGCCCTTCTGTTACGCTGTGCCCCATTTCCCCAGCCCTGGGGCGAGGGGCTGAGACGCTGCCGGGGGCTGGCTGTGTCTCGGGCTGGCTGCGTTTGGGGCTGGCTACCAGCCAGCTGTTCCCCCCCCACCAGTCTTGTGCAGGGAATCCTCCAGGTTCAGCTCCCTCGGCTGCCTGTCTTTCATGCTGGTCTTGCAGGCTTGTCGGGAGCAGCTGGGCACAGGTCCTTACGGCAAAGCCTCTTTGTGATGGGGGGGAAAAGTCCCAGCCATGGGAGCAGAGCTTTCTGCACCAGCCCCACTGGTTGGGGATGACGTCCAGGGTGGACTTGTTTTAAAATCAGGTTTGCATGCAAACACGGACAACGTTTCTGCACCACGCTGTCTGCATGTACCTTGTGTGACATCCTTTGCGTGAACTAAAGAGAGGGGATAAATCTGTTGTCTTGCTTGCTATGAATGCTATTTCTAGCTTCCTTGGGACATAAATCATGTCGCCGCTGCTGCCTAAATGGTAAAAAAGCCTTCTGTAGAGCTCGCTGCCTGCAGCGGTGGGTCAGGCATTCTGACGCTGTCAGGTTGGAGCACATCCATCCTCGTCCTGGAGCACATCCATCCTCACCCACGGGCACCCACGGAGGGGCCCTGCAGCGGTTGGGGTAATCTCTGCTGAGCTGCTGCCTACCCTGGGGCAAGGCACCGGCCGGTGCTTTGCTGCACTCAGCTGCAGGCAGCAGCTCTGGGGTGCTCAGCACCACTGCCTGCAGCCCCAGGGCCCATCCTCCTCCAGCTCTCACCGCTACCCATCCAGCCAGGATGGCTCAGCCCTGCCCGGCCGCCCGCGGGCATCCCGGGCACCCCGGGAGCTGCTGCCGGACGGGACGCATGGTGCAGGTTGCCGGATGGGACGCATGGTGCAGGTTCAGCCAGCTCCAGATGAGGCCGTGCTCAGCCAGTGTGGACCTGCTGTTGTGATTTAATTCGTCTGAAATGCTCAGAAGCATCAGCAAAGCGAAACGCAAAGCTCGGGGGGGTGGAGAGGCTAATTTTATGCTCCATTAAAATCTCAGCTTACAATGGAGCGAGGTCAGGAGTGGTGTCACCTGATGGATTATGGACAGAGGCGAATTACAGCAGAGCAGCCTGTCTTTAGCACCCTGCGGATTTGGGGAGACAGTTACTGCCATGGAAAAGCGTCTGACACGCACACATCCCAGTGCTTGCCGCTGCCCGGCTCTGCCAGCTCCCAGGGCAACCTCCCCACCATGGCTCGCTTCCAGCCGTGCCGCAGAGGTCAGCCCCTTGCCTGTGCCCGCCGGAGGGACGGCAGGAGCAAGCTCGCTGGAACTACGACTCCTTTTAATGCACGTTCTTAACTACACAGATTAAAAGTTAATGGCTTTTAATCGGATGCAAACGGTGACATAGGGAAAAACGCAAGAACAAGAAGGAATTGCACACCAGAGCACGGAGACTGTGGACCCATGGTGTCTGAAATGTGTTAAGGGTCCTGCACTGCTCTCAGCCTTGCCAGGCTGTGGGATGCAGCATTTCAGGGAGAGCTGCCCAAGCACATCTGTCTGGGCCAGACCCCTTCACTCCGATGGGTTTGCACAGCACCGGCACGGCGGGCGCCCTGGCACACGGTGCGCTGTGCCCACACCGGCCGTGCTCGCTGTGCCATGCTCCCGTGTGTGCCAGCTCACGGCGTTTACAGACGCCTTCCTACAGAAACTCAACCCTGGTGCTCTGCTGCAGCACGCTGCTGGGGTTTGCTGCAAAACACCTGCGTGACCGTGGGGTTTTTGTCCTTCAGTTGTCAGGGACGTGGCCCTGCTTCGGTGTAGGAGCCATTTCAAAACCTGTCCAAAGCAAGTGCTGGCTGAAGAGGGGACACGGGCTGCCCGCACACCTTGGGGCAGGCTGGGGAGCGAGGGCAGGGGGCTGGTGGCCGTGCCGAAGACAGTGCTGCTGCTTCGCCCCTTCCCATGAAAGCTGAATGCCTTTTTTTTTACAAATGGTCTGCCAGTGCCTCGTTGTTAAATTAATTGCATGGCATTTTAATGCTTTGATCATTGCTGACGTTCAGGATGTACCAGTTCCCTTGTACAGTTTATTTATTACACGGCCCAAGAAAAATCTAGTTTTTTTCCCTTGGAAGGGGTTTTTTTAGCAAGTGCAGGTTGCACGGGGCAGCCGTGCCCAAGGCTGCGGGTGCTTTGCATCATTTGCTGCTGCGGAGCAGGGGTTCAGGCCATGGTGATCCCCCCACCGATGCGCTTCTCACCTGGAGCTCGACGCCGTAGCCCGTGTAGACGGTGACGTTGTAGGTGCACTCCAGGTAGCTGTGCAGGGGCAGCGGGGGGTAGTCTGTGGAGTCGATGTAGCCCTCGGGGTCGTGGAAGCTCATACTGCAGAGAACTGGGGGGAAGGAACGCACATCAGCGATTGCCCCGGGGGAACGGCTCACCCCCCAGCTCCTTCCCACACCCGGGTGCTCCCGCTGCCCTAAAACCCAGCACCTGGGTCCCTGCTCCAGCAGCCAACACCACTGAAGTGCAGAAGATTTTTGGTAGCCCCACAAACCCAGGCGGTGCCACCGGCACC